TGACTACTCCTCACTGGGTCTTGACTCCTCACAAAGGCTTTCCTCTACTTCCAATCTAGAGCAGCCATCACCATTATCTTCATTGTTCTTTTATTCTTTTAGCACTTAAAATCTCAATAATTAATCTCGTTTCTTTTTTTAATTTGTTTTTTTGAGACAGAGTCTGGCTGTGTCACCCAGCCTGAAGTGCAATGGCACAGTCTCGGCTCATTGCAGCCTCTGCCTCTCAGGTTCAAGTGATTCTCCTGCCTCAGCCTCCCAAGTAGCTGGAATTACAAACACCTGCTACCACACCCAGCTAATTTTTTGTATTTGTAGTAGAGACAGGGTTTTACCCTGTCTCTGTTGGCCAGGCTGGTCTCGAACTCCTGACCTCAAGTGATCCACCCGTCTCAGCCTCCCAAAGTGCTGGGATTATAGGCATGAGCCACTACGCCCAGCCTAATCTTGTTTTGTTTTCTTTTTTACTTGTTTACAATGTAAGCAAGTGCCATTGGACAAGGATCCTGTCTGTGTCATTCCTTATTGTATTTTCAATAGCAGGAGCATATCAGATACTTGGCAAATATTACACGACTTTCTGATGTATTTCTTACCAATGTCGGTGGATATAGCCATGAACAAAAGGGACATTGTTCTTGCCCTTACGATAAATTGCCTCTTGCCATGCATCACAGTGGCTCATGCCTGTAATCCCAACACTTTGGGAGGCTGAGGCGGGTGGATCGCTTGAGACATAGAGTTTGAGAGCAGCCTGGGCAACAAAGTGAGACCCCATCACTACAAAAAATTTAAAAATTAGCCAGGCGTGGTATTGCGTGCCTGTGGTCCTAGCTACATGGAAGGCTGAGGCAGAAGGATCACTTGAGCCCAGGAGTTCGTGGTTGCAGTCAGCTATGTTCATGCCACTGCACTCCAGCTTGGGCGACAGAGCAAGACCCAGTCTAGAAATAATAGTAATTTAAAAATTGCCTCTTGATGGAAAAAGAACTATGCTAATAGCCTTTTAGTTTCATACTCCTTGACTATTTATAAATGACATTGAATCTCCGTAACGATTATTTGGTTAAACGTTTTAGCTTTTGTTTTATCTTTACCAGTTACTTCATCTCTTAAATTGTTCTCCCTCCAAGGGGTAATGGTGGTTATGAAAAGAAGCAATGAAACCTTGATGATGTAAGGTGTTGGTCTGAGACTTCCGTGTGTTCTCTTTGGGTTTTCAGGCCTGCACAGCTGACCACAGTGGGGAAACGTTGCTGTCTTTGGATTCAGGATCTTTGCATGGATCTCCAGAACTTGAAGCGTGTCCGGGATGACCTGCGCTTCCGGGGAGTAAAGGGCACCACTGGCACTCAGGCCAGTTTCCTGCAGCTCTTTGAGGGAGATGACCATAAGGTATTCAGAAAGTGACCTGCAGGAGACTGAAACTCAGTGGTGGAGCCTGAGACAAGGCTGTCTTTGAGGATGATAGGAGAGATTGATTGTGGGACGGGTGGGGTCTTTGAACTGGAAGGAAGTTGTGGGGGTTGGGGGCAAGACCTGGGTAGGATGACAGGTTGGGGCATTCTCATACTAGACACCTGGATTATTATAAGGATGTGTCTTTTCTTTCCAAGGTAGAGCAGCTTGACAAGATGGTGACAGATAAGGCGGGATTTAAGAGGTAGGTAAGTGGGAATACGTTGACCTCCCTGTTAAGTTGATGAAAGTCCTGTGTTCAGTATACCTCTAGATTTGATCTTACAATTTTTGCCCTTTTCTTCCTTTGTTCTTCTACCCATTTTTTTTTTTTTTTTTCTGTCTCTATCCTGGGTTTTATTTTCTTACTATCTGGATTCTTTTTTGTTTTTCCCCCTAATCGTCTTGCTGACATATTTTCTGGATTTTATTTTATTTTATTATTATTTTTGAGACAGGGTCTTACTCTGTCACCCAGGCTGGAGTGCAGCAGTGTGATCTCGGCTCACTGCAGCCTCCACCTCCCAGCTTCAAGCCGTCCTTCCACCTAAGCCCCCTGAGTAGCTATGACTGCAAGCATGCCTGGCTAATTTTTGT